ACCATGTCACAAACTAGTACATAAGCAATTCTTTCATGAGGCTGTTGTGGAACTTCCCCTTTCACAATTTATCATCTCATTCTCAGATTTGTACTTCAAATATCACAAAGCTGTAATCCCTGCATACATAAACCTCCACTCCTGTCATGATCATCACATATGTGGACATATCAGAAGTTATTATTAACCAGGGAGTACACATGTACTGTATAGCTGTTAGTTATCCAAGAAATGGCAGGCATAAATAATATATGGAGAGTGGGGAGATCTGATTGAACATCTAGTGTTCTTGGCTTAAGTGCTAGATCAGATGGAAAAATTGATAATGTAAAGAGAGTATCAGTTCCTATTTAGGATCCTCATTTAAGAATGATTTCTTTGTTAAAAACTTTAGTTTATCAGCTTTGATCAATGTTTCCACCATTAACTGGTAGACGCTTAGCTTGGTTTTGCATATTGTATAATTGAAGTTATCACAAGTATTGTAGGTTCTATTTCTTTATTGGCATTTGAAATCTCATTTCTTTTCTTTAAATATATTTCTAGATCAAGTTTTTGGGCCTACAACCACTACACGTCATTTATACGATATTGCAGCCCAACATGTTGTCAGTGGTGCTATGGAAGGCATTAATGGTATGTTATTTTTTTTTTCCTTTTGAAGAAAACCATGTTTTATTGCAATAGAATGAACAAACATGCATTGGCATCATGATATGATTACTTTGTCTTTCCCAAAATTAAATCCAAAACTTTCCCAATTGTTAGTATTTTTTTCTCTCACAATGTCTTCACTCAAATACTATTTTTTGGATCAATATAGTTTCCCATTCTTGCTCTTTTAATAGTTTTATCTTTGATGTACAAAATAGTTTCTTTAATTTCTATCATTCTTGCAAGTGTCTTATTAGTTTCTATCAACTCTCTCTTTCTTATATATATTCTTTGATCCATCATAAGAGCAGGCACTATCTTTGCATATGGTGTGACAAGTAGTGGGAAAACTCACACTATGCATGTAAGTATCTTTTTGTATTCCAATGAATTTACTTTTTTATTTTAATGAATTTTTATATTCCAATGAATTTATTTTGCCTCGCTCATATCATACACACAAGACAGGGAAACCAGAGGTCCCCTGGAATTATCCCATTGGCAATAAAGGATGCTTTTTGTATCATTCAAGAGGTATGAATATGCTTTTCTAAACATCTGATTGTTTTAAGAGAAATAATCATTGATTTTCCTCATGTGTTTTCAGACCCCATGTCGCGAATTTCTCCTCCGTCTCTCATATTTGGAAATATACAATGAGGTGAGCTTCTGAATTGGAAAAATTACCATTTTAACCTTCTAGAAAAACAAGAACATAAATTTCACATCTCAGCAAACACATTTCACATTCCAGATTTCAGAAAACATCAATAATGAACACATCAAAAAGCTGGAGTCTAACTAAATTTATTCACATTAAACAATAAGGCATGATACATGACCTAGGAGAGCATGCCACATGTCAATGTATGAATGGATGAGTCCCTTTTGTCTGTAATGTTACTATCTCAAGTTTTTTTTTTTTTTTTTTTTTTCTTTTCTTGCAGGTTGTTAATGATTTGTTGAATCCAGCAGGACACCATCTAAGAATAAGAGAGGACAATCAGGTAAAGTTGTATAACTTTTATATACTTTTATAAAAAATCAAAAATCATAAATCAAAATAAATTTATGCAATAATTATTGTTTGCAATTGCAGGGAACCTTTGTTGAAGGTGTAAAACAGAAGTTGTATTATCTCCTGCCCATGCCTTTCCATTATTGCAGCTGGAGAAGGTAATAACAAATAGTTCATTAGACTTTTGGTTATTTAATTTTTTAATTGGAATTTAATTTATACATTGTTTTTTTTTTTTTTGCTAATTCAGAGCAAAGACACGTTGCTTCCACAAAGTTAAATCTGCACAGCAGCAGAAGTCACACAATATTTACACTGGTAATATAATTTTCTGTGTATTCCAAATTTTATTATCTATTCTTTCCACTCTTTAATTGCTGTTTTAGTTTTTAACAGCACCTCTTGCTTCCAAAAGTATTTAAAATATTAAATATCATAACTTATTTTAATCTTTTCTATTTTACTTTTTACGTATAGACAATCGAGAGTAGCCCATGTGGTGAAAATATTGAAGGCGAGGCTGTTAACTTGTCGCAACTGGTATGCCCCTGAACCTCATTTTAGACATATTTCCCCAGGGGTATTATCGTCATTTTGACTTGTTTTGCAGAACCTCATAGATCTTGCTGGTTCCGAGAGCTCTAAAGCTGAAACTACTGGTATTCGTAGAAAAGAAGGGGCCTACATAAATAAAAGCCTTCTAACTCTTGGAACTGTAAGCCCTCAATCATTTTCATTAACTCTTTACTTTATCAGTATAATCTCCAAGGGTAAAAAAGGAAACAAGATTCGTGATAAATAATAAATTGTCACAGGTTATATCAAAACTATCAGATGGGAGGGCTGCTCATATACCATACAGAGACTCAAAATTAACCAGACTTCTTCAGTCTTCTTTAAGTGGTCATGGAAGGGTATCTGTAAGTCTTTTATGCAACTTCCATATTTATTATTTAATGCCCATATATCTTTTATTTATTTATTTATTATTTCAGCTTATTTGCACTGTTACTCCCTCTTCAAGCAATTCAGAGGAGACACACAACACATTGAAATTTGCACATCATGCAAAACACATTGAAATTCAAGCAGCACAAAATAAGGTTATGAGCATTTGAATTATTTGCACTTGAGAATTAAATCTGTAATTAAGAGTTTTGAAAGTAAAACTTTATATTTTCAGATCAATGATGAAAAATCCCTTATCAAAACATATCAAAATCAAATTCGATCTTTAAAAGAGGAGTTACATCAGTTGGAGCATGAAGGAGAAGCTAAAGATGCTTTATTAAGCCAAATACAAAGTCTCACAAGACTGATCCTAGTCTCAACCAAATCGCCACATCAGACTGATCCAGGAAGCAGATATTCCTTCATGGAAGAGGAGGTAAAATTACGATTTCGTCCCTGAAATGAAGTTTTGTAACACTTTTTGTCCCTGTAGTTGACTTTGTCCATATCAATTGATTTAATAATCCTAAAAAACTTAATAATAATTATAATAATACATGTAAGAGAAAGGGCAAATTAGTCATTTTACATGGGGTTAAAGGTTAATACAGACGTCAACAGGAGGGACGAAAAGTGTTGAAAAACTTCACTGTAGGGACGAAAAACGTTAAAAGTTCTGTATACGGGGGATGAAATGTGTAACTTTCAACAAACCATAGGGACGAAAACTGTAATTTAGGCTAACTTGAATAATCTGATAAATGGGCAGCTTGCATATCTTCCAAAAAGAGGGCGCAACTTAAGTTTGGATCATGAAAACATTCAACTGCATGTTACTCTTAATGAAGGCACACACATAAAGGATGATAAAAAGATCAAGAAGCCACAGGTCTGTTTAATTTTTTTAACAAATATTTTTTTTATTAAATTTAGATCAGTGATAGTACTTAGTAGTGATAAATCTTGTTCTTAACTTGGTTTGACCAGAAACGAGATGGTTTGACTTTGACCAGTGGTAGTGATAAATCAAGTGGAGGCATGTCTACAACAAGCAATCCTACTCCTACACCTCCAGCAAATACTCATACTCTTGCTATTGTTGAATCCAGAAGACTTTCTTACTCTTCTCCATCAGAATCTACATCAGAGCCCTTGCAACAGGTTGACTTTTTATATAACTTACAGTTACTACAAATTAATATATTTTATATAATAATTGAGTAAATTGAAAGATGTTTGTTCTACTATCAGGTTGAAGTACTCACAGATAGTGAAGCAATCCAAGAGCAGCTAAACGGAAAGGTAAAACTGAAGTTGTACATTATTATTAATTTAATATTTTTACTTAAAAAAATATTGTGTTTCCTCAGAACAATGAATGTAAAGGACTTGAAGAAACAATCAAAGCCTTGAAACAACTTCTTTCAGAAAATACAACAATTAAAGCACAGGTTTGTTTCCATATGACCACTACCCAAAAAAATAACATACTTAAATAATTTACCAATTTCATGTTAATTAATCAGGCAGTTGAGATTGAACAACTCAAACAGAAAGTAGCCAAGATTACAGAGTCAAAAGAGCAATTAGAAAGTGAAAACAAAAGGCTGAGAGAAGAGAGTGCATACGCCAATGAATTAGCCTCTGCTGCTGCAAATGAGCTTAAGATGATGTCTGAACAAGTCGTGAAGCTAATGAATCAAGGTGTTGTCTGAATTAAGTCAGTGAGGTTGATTGATTGTGCGAGTATTTGGTTGCTTTGTAAACATTAATGGTGTGGTTTTCATTGCTAAAGGCTACATGGTCTTGCACATATACTTGTTTGTAAACAAAAAAAAAAAAGTGTGGTGAATGGAAAGTGGAAAGTGGAAACTACTCATTTGGTTTTTGAATGACAAAATTGCAAAAATGGTCCCTGTGGTTGACAATTTTATGTGTTTTTGGTCCAAAACGAAATGTTGGTGCACCACTGGTCCAAAATTGGATATTTCTATTGTTTTTGGTCCCTATCTACTTAAAAAGACCATTATGCCCTTATAATTTTTTTTTCCATTTTTTTATTATCTATTTTTATTCAAAATAAAAAAAAACCACCACCATCCTCTCTCTCTCTCTCTCTCTCTCTCTCTAAATCTTCATCTGGGTTCTTTAACTTCGTCTTCTTAAACACACACACACACACAAAATACACAAAGTTATGAAGATCCTCGTCCGATGGAGAAAAAGAAATACGAATTGGAATAGCCCCAAGGTCGATCGATGGTCCAGTGGCCGAATTCGCGAGTAGGGGCGAGCAACACAAGAGGCCGTCACCTTTTATCTTTCATCGGGAAGAGAAATCGCCGCCTCTTGGTGTTTTACTCATCCGGAGCGAAGGATGAAGCGAGGGCAGCAATGGCTGCTTGAGCAGATCTTGTGCTCTTCTGTCTCAGAAGAAGGATGCGAAGGAAGGGGGATCGGTGTGGCTAGGGTTTTCGAAGGGAAGGAGGCCAGAAAAGAGTTCAGACGAGAAGCAGGACGTCGCAGGTGGTCCAGTGGTGTTTGCTTTGACGGGAGAAGAAGAGATGTGCGAGAGGTGAGGCTGCTGTCTCGATGGCTCACTGAAGCACCACTACAGCCAGTGGTTCATGACAGAGGACGAAGAAACAGGTCGAGACCAAGAGACCCAACGATGAGTCTCGATTTTTGTTGAATCTCAAACTTGCAAATCACGATTGGTAACAAATCTGGTTGATTGTGGGTGGGTTCTTGTGTTCACTATATAGTTTAGGGATGAATTAACTTTTTTTTGCCACATATTCCCGTTTGATCTATCTGATCAAGATGAAAGCAGGCGAGAGAGAGAGAGAGAGAGAGAGAGGTGGGTTTATTTTGTTTGTTTTTCATTTTATTATAAGAATAAGAAAATAAATAAAAGAAATTAAAATATAATTATTTAAGGGGCATATTAGTCATTTTAGTGGGATCTGGACCAAAAACACAAGAAAATACAACCATAGGGACCAAAACCACACAAGGTATCTAAAATTGGACCAGTGGTGCACCAACATTTCGTTTTGGACCAAAACTACAGAATTTTGCCAAACACAGGGACCATTTTTGCAATTTTGTCTTTTTGACTCATCGTATTTGGTATTTTGTTATAAATTATATTTCTTGCAAAGTAAGCGAAATAGAAAAGATTATACTTGTATAAATAAGCAACCAAATGAAGCTATATGAGTATATATATAACATATAATCAATGTTGTAAAAGTCGGTTAACCTAGTTGAGTATTTGGAATTTGGGCATGTAATATAACGATTTTTTAGAAATTAGTCAAACTCGGTCGTATTTCTGTCTTACTTAGAAACTCAGTCAATCAAACTCAGGTAATTTTGATTTTAAGAAATTTATCTTATGCGAGTACTCCCCGACTATGTCGAATGCTCGCTACTTCCTAGTTGACATATACCTAGTATCCGCCTAGCAACTTTTGATACATGGCATATAATACACTACTTTCTTGAACTCCTAAAATCTTGAACATCCAAATACAAATGTGGTATGTTGCTTATTGTTCTTGTGCCGGAGACATTAAAGTGGTGTTTGGTTTTGAAAAGGTAAAATGTATGCAGTCTTTTCCCAAGTCTATAGAAGAATATGTGGATCAGAAGTTTACTGTATTGACTGTTTATTGACGGTTTGTTTTTCAAAAGTCTGCAAATTAATATTATTTTTTATTATGTATATATAATAAATTAAGTGAAATCATCATCTGCCCGTAATCGTATCGAAGTCATTACTACCACCACATCGTCCACTACGACCATTATCATCTTCAAAAACATCATGTTTCGAAAATTAATAAAAACCATGTTCAAATCCAAATCAAAACAAAATGAAAAAAACACAAAAAAAAAATCATAAAAAAATTAATTTGAAAAAAGCAAACAAAAAAGTCAAATCGGAAAAAAAAACAAACAAATCAAAACAAAAAAAATAAATCGACAAAAACAATTGAAAAGCAAATCGGAAAAGATGATGAACTTTAAAAGCTAAGGGTTAGAAATGCCTTCAAACTTTAGAAATTATTTTTTATATCTTCTACAACACAAACATTTGTTTTATGTCTTCTGTTTTCTAAAAAAACAAACAATAAATAGAAGTTGTTCATTTTCACAAAGATAAACACAATGTAAATGGCTATATTGTAGGATTATCCTTAGAAATAATTTATGATAACCTAATTGACTACATGATCCTTCAAAACACATATTCGTGAGAAAGAACATACTTGTTTTCACATATTCCTAACAAATAACACATTGAATTTCATGTACCATGCAAAACACATCAAGATTCAAGCAACACAAAACAAGGTACGAGCAATTGTCTCTTTTATGTTTTTTAAAATTTTGGAAGTAAAACGTTATATTTGGAAACCATATGGATAATGCTTAAAGACATAAAAAAAAAGTTAAGGAGGGGACTAGATTTTTTTGGAAACCACATGGACCATTTATGAAGATTTTCCTTATATATAGATATAGATATATATATATATATATATATATATATATATATAATATATATATATATATATATATATATATATATATATATATAGGGTCCAGTTCCGGTGATGACTCTCTTTTCGGTGAGGACTCGTGAGAACACCTTAAAAAAATTTAAAAAAATCTAAAAAAAATACAAATCAAAAAATCGAGCATAGTACTATATCCAGGAGAAAAAAAATGAAAATTTTTTTGTATCATTAAAATTGAATCATAAATTATAAAAATTGAATCATGGATCGTAAAAAATGATTCATGCTTCAATTTTAATGATCCAAATTTTTTTTCCAACTTTTTTCTCTCCGATTTAGTATTATGCTCGATTTTATGATTTGTATTTTTTTTTTCAATTTTTTTAAGGCGTCCTCTCGAGTCCTCACCCGATCCCCTCTCTCTCTGTATATATATATATATATATATATATATATATATATATATATATATATATATATATATATATATATATATATATATATATATATATTTTGGGAAAATCAATAGAAAAATGCATATAAAAATGTATAAAAAAATACTTTGAGATATCTTTTTTTTTTGACTTTACAAACTTAAAAATCACTAATTTTTTTATAAAACCTCTTAAAGAAAATTAAAAAATAATAATTTTTTTATATAAAAAATTTCAAATTTTTTTCAACGAATTTGTTCCAAAACCTACGATTTTTAGCCTGTAAAGTCAAAAAAAAAAAAAAAAAGATTAGATATCTTAAAATAATTTTTTCTATGTATTACTATTGATTTTTTAGGTTTTAGGGTTTCCAAACTTTTATGTATTTTCTATTATATATATATATATATATATATATATATATATATATATATATAAACTTAAATGAAAAAGTTTATTATATTTCTATGATATGATAGTTTTTCAATTTACTTAGTTTCAAACCAATAATTTTGTTTTTAAAATTTTATTAGGCCATTTGATATGGCATACAAAGCCACATGTGAAATCCTATGTGGCGGACATGTCCGCTAGTGGATGTAATGTGGAGTAAACCTCTCTACGTATGTTTACGCCCAATATGATTGCTTGCTTTCGAAATGGTCCAAACGACCACAATATGATTGCTTAATCTAATGTAAAATAAAAATAAAAATTAAAAAAAATAAGTAATGTGGAGTGGTAATCATTTCTAAGGAGTACTAGTGTGGTAGTGAACATGTAATGAAGATGACGTGTCGTAAGTATGACAACACTTTTTTAGTGAGAAATGAGAGAAAAAATGGAAAGGAGTGTCGTGATTAATTGGCATTTATTTATTTTTCTTAATGTTATCTCTTAAAATCAAACTATTAAATTGGCACACTACCATTTTATTTTTTTATTATTTATTATTATTATTATTATTTTTTATGTTAGACATGCTAAACTTACACGAAGTTAAAAAAAACTAAAAAAATCCTACATACCACTCTCTCCAGGTCGATATCATAATCATTAAAAATAGTCGTCACAAAGGCTTATAAATTTAAAAGCTTCGATTTTTTTTTTTTTCAAATAAGACCCTCGAAGGCTCGAACAATTTTTATTTATTTTTTAATTTTTGTTATTTAAAAAAAGCCCTTCCAACACAGAGCTCGCCGTTGTAGTCTTGGAAAGGCCACCTGTGTTTCTCTACCCCCATCAAATCATCAATCATCAATCATCATCGTCTGTAACTCTCTGGTATTTTCTTTCACTTGGACTATCTATCTTTTACCTACTTTCTCTATCCGATTAATCAATTTGCCTTCCTTCATTCATATCATCTTCGAATGCTACGTTACGTTAATTTCGGTTGTTTTCCGATTTACAGTTCACAATTCACAAATTTGCCTTTGTTTTAGTTTTAGGTCGAACATCCATCTGTATCTGTTTCTATTGCACAGAATCGCAGATCTTTTTTCTATTTAATCTCGATTAAATTCCTGCAACCAAATTTTCATTTTATTATTAGGTTAGTCACAAAAATCAAAATTGGAGCACAGTTTTATCAACTCTACACTGAATTATCAAATAGATTAGGGGAATCAATCATGTTTTCCGATTCGACATGAATGAGTTGCTGATAAAAAAATGTTTTGTCAGATTGAAGATGGGAAACATATCTGCAAAGGAAAAGGGAAAGGAAAGAGAAGAAGTAGTGATAAAGATTGTGCCTCCATTGGACTCTGCATATGTTCGTTGGCTTGCCAAAGATTTGGAGAGGATTCATGGGTATGTTCCTTCAAAACCTCGTGCCATTAAACCACCAGATCATTACATCGATTACATGAGGATGAATGGATGGTTAGATCTTGACCTAAATGATCCTGCCCTCGCCCATTTATTCAAATAGCAACGTGTTAAAGTGTTCTTGTTTATCATCCATAATAGCATTGTATGATTGTACTTATATTTCAAATTATCCGTAATAGAAAAGTACTTATATTTCAAATGTTTTTGATATTTTTGGGTGTAATTGCGTGGCAATGCTGTAAATTTGATAAAAGTTGTAATTTTTGTCTTTTATCATATGGAAATAAGGAAATTTGTGGGGTAGGATTAGCTCAAAAGACGTGAATTCCTTTTTCATTCTGTATATTTGGTTAAGAGTCTTGTTAATGACCAAACCACATTAGATTGTTTGAGTGTAGGGTTCCATTATTTACAATTTTTTGGTACAAATCGGAATATCATATCCGACTATTATCTGAGATGTGTTATCACTGATTTTTGGAAATTAATTTTTCAGAATATTTAAAGTTGTCAAGTAATTGATTTTATGTTTTAAAAGGGAAATCAACTTATGTTTTTTATATGGCTATTGTTATCTTAGGTTTAATTTAATACGTCATATCTTTTTTTAAATTTATATTTTTGACCTAAATTTTAAATTTTATTACAAATTTGATCTGAATTTAAAATTTTGTTATGAATTCTTCCCAAATTTAGTTTTTTTTTTCCAAACTTTTTTTAAGAATTTTTTTATAATGGTTTATAAGATTTTTTTCTTAATTTATTTTTCAACTATTAAAAAATTTTCTTTTACAATATATTTTTTTAACCTTTTTTCAACTTTTGCAATACCTCATATACATTAGCAAATTAGCAACCAACTTGTAGATTAGAAATTTATAAAAAAAAAGTTAAAGAAAATAAAATCTTATAAACCATTATAAAAAAGTTGTAGAAAATTAAATTTGTAAAAAAGACTAAATTTGTTTATTCGTACACAACAATTTTATCCGTATACAATAATTGTTTTGTTGAAGGTGAAGAATAAATCATGGCCAAATAATGACTATAAGCATCCAAATGCCCATATTTGTTTATTCATTTCTTCTAGTTTGGGAATTTTCTTTCATCACATTGAGTATACATGTTTGTATGTACATATATTTATTCCATTGTATGTACATATAGTCAAACACAAAGACAACTTTTGAACTCCGATGGAAATATCCTATAAATTTACATTTTAAACTTATATTAAGTTAAGTCTCTCTCTCTCTTTCTCTCTCTCTCTCTCTATATATATATATATATATATATATATATATATATATATATATATATATATATATATAGTAGGTGTGAAACCCGTGTAATACACGGGTTATTTAAAACAAAAGTTAAATATTAAGGTTTCAATATCAAAATATCAGCAATGTGTTTTAACTTGAGACTAATGATAAAATCATCGTGTTGTACAATCAAATACAAATTTTAATATTCGAAAAAAAACTACAATCATATATAGTAATATGACTAATATTATTGTTTTATTTAAAATAATTATAGTGAAATAATTTAGTTTGTTAATAACTTCTATTATTTTGTTATTCTCAAAAATATGTTTAAATAAATTCTATTTGTAAAATAAAAAAAAAACAAATACAAGCTAGATAAGCATGTTGTTGGTGTCATTATGAAAAAGTTTTCGTATAATATATTTTGATATTTTTAAGATATATACAAATTATTTTTTAATCATACAAACTACATAATATTAGATTGAATTGAAATTCATCTTATAAATGGTTTTGTAAATGTCATTACTGATGCTGCGACTTTTTTATTTAATTATAATGTTCAGTTGAAATTTGATTTTTTTTTCAGAAAAAAATGAAAGATTATGGTGAGAATCAAATCTTGAAATCCTTCTTTGTGAATTGTTGAGCAAATCAAGGACGTATAAGTATAGATGGAAATTGGGGATCTAAAATAAGAAATGAATAAACCATATTTAAAACATTTAATACATTACTTATTTAAATAAAGTTTTATGTAGATTTTAATTTTAAATTTTGAAAAAACCTAGAATTTGACATTTGGATTTTATTAATCCAAAAAAATTACAAAACTACAAGTGTCAAAAGTAATGAAAGAATGACATGTGGCATATTGATTTTCATTTATTAGAGTATATATATATATATATATATATATATATATATATATATATATATATATATATATATATATTAAGTCCCGAATACTGGTTATCAACTATGGAAAATTTGTAGGTTAGTCGGTATTACAACATGTTACCTGCATACGTAGGTGTTATGTTTAGGGACGTAATTGAATATGATGTCAAAATGTAAGGACTTTATATGTGTCACATAAACGTGAAATCAGTTAATCTAAAAAAGTGTCCACGATTGAATAATTTAACCGGTGTTCAACACTTAATCGGATATATATATATATATATATATATATATATATATATATATATATATATATATATATATATATATATATATATATGATTAAGTGTTGAATATGAGGTCAAAAAAATTATATATACTTAATTGAATATGAGACCAAAATGTAAGGACTTTACAGAGATTTCCCTATGATTTATTTGAGACTCTAAGTTTTTCTAATCAATAGTCATATCAATAATCACATAGTCAACAAACTTCTTATCATTTCATTGTTATTTATTTTCAAATAAGAAAATATAGAACCTTCAATTAGCAAAAGTAGAACACTCGGTCTCCAAATTAGAAAATGCAAAACCATTTGCAATACAATTCCATCCAGGTTAACCAACGCAGAACTTCCGATCTTTAAATTAGCAACTACATAACCATTTGTTATACAATTACATCTAAGTTAGAAGATACAAAACTTTTGGTTTTCAACTTAACAAACACATATATAATCAAAACATTGATCTTCCCCCGTTAAGCACACCATAAGCAATATTATTATGGAAAAAAACGAAAAAGTTTATGCAAATGAAACAATTGTCAAATATGAGAGGTTTTATTTTTCATGTTAGGATTTTCGGATTTTTTTTTTTTTTTACCAATTACTACTAAACCTTGTAAAAGGCTTAGAAAGAAAAAAATTGAAAAAAAACATGAGTTCTTTTGAGAAAAAAAAAAAAAAAAATATTAAAAATCGAAAAATATAAGATATATTTATAATATTAACCATAATTTGAACCAGGAAGCAAAGGCCAAACTTGGGTATGCTCAAAAGAGCGCAACACGTCTTCATCCACTGAGCTCTAGCTAAAGAAGCGGGGATAAAAATTACTAAATGGTGTGACATAACTCGGACCCAATAGCCAACTACCGTTGAGGAAATGTTCTTGGTGGCGGATCATTACAAGGCAGTTGTCTAATTAAAAAAATGCTTTGATACGGCCACTTTCGCTTATATGTAGGTGTTTTGGAAATCCCAGTATGACATTCGTTCTGCCAAGATTAAATATCAAAGAGATCCTATTTTTCATAGCATTCTAATGGTCTCATTTTTTTAGATTTCAAGTATATTGAAAAAGAAGAGTTTAGTGTGGTTAGCTTGGTTAATAAACCCATCATTGGCTTAATAATGGGTAGAACAAAGGTTCGTAATCGGGTTAAACGGATCGGATTAGTCGGGTTTTGTTTAAGAAATATTCATTCAAAACCCGACTCCATTAAACTTCGGGTTAGTCGGGTTCGAGTTAATACATGTTTTGATCTTTTTGCTACTGAATGAGTGATTTAGTAATCCTAAAAGAGCTAAATGGATTTCTTAAACATAAGAGTTATGGAAAACAGCCCCATTAAGTCCATGACCCCATCACATAAATAGATTCTAGAAACTCAAAAGAAAAAAAAATAAACCGACCTTCATAATTTGGAAAGAATACTAATGCTCCCACAAAGACACTCTTACACAATTCTAGAACCAGGCGTGTATAAATTTCTAAAAGACCTAAACGAATTTAATATTCAATGAATCAAATGCGAATTATATGATTAAGAAACAGGGTATAATAACTAAATACTAAATTAGATTATAGAATGAAGAAATACGTTTGCTCGATCACCACTAATGTCAAGTGGACAAAATCATCATGAACTTGGGTAGTAAGAAATTGCAATGAATGTGGGCAACAATAACGAAACAAGAAATTTAAACGTTTGTAGGTTGGTTTATTTGATTTTATTTGGGATAACCGGGTTAACCTGAACCCGAAAAATCTTTATAAAAAGTGACCCGAAACCCGACCTTATATACATATCGGGTTAACCTGAATAACCTAAATAACCGGATTTGATTTCCAGACCCTATTAACCCGTCAAACCTGATATTTATATAGTGTCGGGTTTTGGGTCACTTTTTATAAAGATTTTCAGATTCGGGGTTAACCCGAATAAAATCAGATAAATCAACCCACAAACGCTTAAAATCTCTCGTTGCTGCCCACATTCGTTGCAATTTCTTAGTGCGCAAGTTCATGGTTATTTTGTCCTATTGAAATTAATGGTAATCGAACAAAAGTATTTCTCTATTCTATTATTAAATTTAATATTTAATTATTATAATATGTTTCTTAATCACATAATTCAATTAATTGAATATTAAATATGTTTAGGTCGCTTAGAAATTTGTTTAGAAATTATACACATCATATTCTTAAATAGTGTAAAAGTTTCTTTGTGAGAGCATGATTATAGTACCTATAGAAGAAACTTTTAAGTGTCAAAATAGCAATTCCTCTAAAAAAAGTATCTTTTCATTTCAACTTTTTTGATATTTAATTTTCTTTTTAATATTTATTAGTAAGTTTTATATATAATTAAGTAAAACAAATTAAAATAAACCACAGTATAAATATAAATTAACTAAGTACAAAATAAAAGTTTGAAACTAAACTATTTCGTTTATGGGTTGAGCCAAATTCAGAAAAAGAAGATAGGTTTAAAATATGTTCTTTTTGCTCTAAAGTTACGTGATAAAGAGCTTTAAATTTTGATCATGTTCATCATTTTGGTTAATTTTAACCATGTTCATGCATATTAATATAATAAAAATATTATGTAAATCTGGAAGTTCCTAATTAATCAACCAGTGCGAAAATGACATCAATCTTCATCATCAGATGGAGTATGTTCGAAGCATGAACAAGAACAAATCAACATGATCATTAGATATGTTTACTTGATATAACTTGTTCAAAATAAGAATAATCATAATCAATATTTAATAAGTTTGTGATCTAGATCTTAGCACAACAGAAATAAATGACTAATTTCAACGATGAAGGGAAAGAAGATCATGAAAATCACGGATCAAAACAAATCGTGAATCTCGATAATGGAATTAACAAGCGTTGAAGTTTTCTAAATGTTGGAATCCAAGTGTAAACAGAATTCATCTTAATTATTGCTTCACGATTTTCACAATTATGGCTCATCTAATTCAAAGATTTAAGACAAAAAAACAGAATAGAAGAATAGATCTATAACTCACTCATCAGTCGTCATCATCAATTGGTCTTGGCAGGATCCGGAATCTGAAACAAACCGGCGCCGGCAGCTCCACGAGGAGGTGCAAACCCTAAAAACTTCTGTAGATTCGTCCTGATACTGATCGAACACAAGAAATACAAAAACGCCATCGAACAATCCGTCGGATCGTCTCCCTGCAATCCTCTGTGACTCATCTTCTGAACAATCCTCGCCGGAACAAACGGCAACTTCGCAACCGCCTTCCCTTCAAAAAGATTGTTCAAAAACCCAAACACAACGAACAGAACCAAAGCAACGACGCCACCAGATTTGAACTTGAAGAGAGACAAATCTCTGCTGGATTCCTTCAACGACGTTTCCACGCGATCTATTTTTTTGGTTTTGGACTTTTTGGGGGCGGCGGCGACAGTTGAATCGGTTTTCATGGTTTCGAGTTTCTTGGAGGCTTTGTCGATGGAGGATTTGAGTGATTTATAAGATGTGGTGCGGTAGATCAAGAGCCATGAGATTGCTTCGCAGATGACGGCGGTGCAGAAAGAGATTCCGACGACCGTTAGGCCGTCGGAGTACTTGAAGGTGGAGAAGAGGGATGTCATTGTTGACTGAAGAATTGGGGGAAGAGAGAAAGAGGGGAAAGGGAGACGAGGGTTTCTGGAGAGGCTGAGAAAAGGGTGTGATGCTTGATAGATTCGCCGATAAACCCACTCACGTTGCCTACAAATCTGCAATGGTAAAAAATGGAATAAAATAACATTAATCTAGATCGAACTAAAGAAACTTTTTTTAGTAAAGTATAAGAGTAAATTACACGTTTTTTTAACCATGAAATGAAAACAAAAGCTAGATAGAAATCATCAACACGAACAAACTAGTTAAGAATCTGAATTTTTAACCGTCCAATTCAATTCTTCCTAGCTTTAGCGATCTAACAAAAAACCAATTAAAAAAAACGCTATAATTTTATCGAAAATAAAATCTTTCTTATACTTGTTTTGGCGAAAAATCAAATCATTTTGGTAAGTTCATAGAACCCAAAGGATTGTCATACACACCGAGTCCAAAGTTGCATGCTTTAAACGAGCTACAAGCTGGATATCAATCCACTCTGTCATAGACAAGAAGCAATCAAAAACCGGGAACTGCAATACCACACAACGCGCAATCCCTGACCAAAGCTGATGAGCGAGAGAACATTTGAAGAACAAATTACTAACATCTCTGACATCACCACTACACATCGGACATAATAGAGACTCCATTTCCACATCACGTTTATCTAAATTCCTCAGTGTTGGAATTCGATCCATCATAACTCTCCAAATAAAGACATTAATCTTTACAGGAATCCACCTATTCCAACGAGTCACAAAACTACCATTGGAAGACATGTGTCATCTCATCGATATGGAATTCGATTGATCGAACCGAGAACGTACTAGAAGGATCTAACTGTTGGAAATAGGGGTCCAATGTCATAACTAAATTAGTATAACTTTGAGAACAATAATAAAGTCCTCAAGAGCTAAAATAGCTAGAATAGATTTTAAGAGAGTGAGGAAAATAGTTTATTAATTTATCACATGATAATAAATTAATTAGAAACTAAATAGAATTAATTGCAATTAATCAAAAATTGTTTAAAGGTGCAGAGACTGAATGATAATTGTTCAATAGTTGAGCAAAAAGAACATTCCGGAATCCCCAAAGAGGGTGGACAATTTTGGGAGCTCTAGAAAGGTTTTAGAATCGATCCTAATAGATGTTAAGGATAATGATTTGAATATGAATTAAATCTAATTATTTAATTGATTCAAATTAGCTTTATCTGCAAGTAATCTCAGTTATATAAAGACCTCTCTGCCTTCAAAATTTCGTTCCTAACATCTCCTAGGGTGAGAATTTCATTCTCATATTCATCTCTCCCCTCTTTTAAATATTCTAGGGTTTTTGACTTTTGGGTGTGAGCCATTAGAGACATTCTTACTTTGGGTGCTAGTTCTTCCAAGTGATTGCAAGGATTCGAGATCTTCAAGTGGATTACAAGTATATATGATTATACTTGAAAGGATGGTAATCTTATCCCTCTTGTTAGTTTAACTTCATAGTTTTGAAAGTAGGTTGTTGTAATAGTAAAACCTAGATCTTGGGTGCATGTATACTTAGGATTATTTTTGAATGCTGCCATGACCTAAATCTAGTGTAAAGATGCATATCAAACCCATCACTAACTCCCACCCTAAGCATATGCTCTCGAAGTCAGTTGTACAACTTGCAACATAGACAACAATTGAGATAACTGGAGAACCACCACTCCACCTAGAATAAGCATATTCCATGTAAACCTCCACGACTGATTACTCCAAAAATATCGAACTGTCCCCTCTTAATTGCAATAAAAAGCATATAATCTAGGAAACTGTTTCAGGACAATTATGTTGTAACACTCCAAATCAGGTAACCGTTCTAACCCCCTTGAAATGATTTAATTTGGCAAAAATGGTCCCTTTTGTACGCTGGGTGTACCTAAGTGTACGCTTAGCATACTACGGAGGAAGGATCGCGAAGGAATATTGAGTATGCGGGGCGTACATGTAGGTACGCGGAGCATACATGTAGGTACGCGGGGCGTACGCGACAAAGGACCAAAACCCTAAAACCCGAACTTGAGACCTATTTATTCATCCTTAAGCCACTTGGACCAAACCCTAATCAGCCTCTAGAGTCTCATTTCGTCCCTTTACCTCAGTTTTCCTTTGAGAGTGTGATTTTGGAGCATAGAAGTGTGTTAGTGGCCATTTTGGAGTTTATTCAAGAAGAAGAAGTTAGTAAGAAAGCTTGGGGTAGCATTGGGCTTTAAGATCCTACATCTAGTTCACCTTGAGGAGCTTTTAGAGATATAAAGTCTTAATCTTGCCATCTTATTCATTAGATTGAGCTAGGGTTTGCTATATTGTCCCATTTTGTGTTCATGAATTATCTCTTGGGAGTTTGAGCAAATCCAAAGACTAAGATGGTTAGATCTGAGTTTTGTGAGCATGCTAGATGCATAAAGGTGCTAGCTTGAAGGTTATCTAAACTCTATGCATGAGTTTGGAGCTTTATATGAAGTCCTAATGTGAAAAATGAAGTTTTGAAGTTCCTTATAGCATGCAAGGGCATAAAGTTGCCAACTTTATGCCCTAAGACGTCTTAATGAGCTCAGATCTGATATTGGACGTTATAATATCAAGTATTAAGCACTTAATGGAAGTGGTGCTTAATCTGCTTGTACGATGGGCGTAATATAGCGTACGCAGCGCGTACATCCAAGGACTAAGTACGCTAAGCGTATTGAAGTGGTACACTTGGCATACGCACCCCAGTTGGTTTTGGGCTTCGTGTGGGATTGTAAACTTTTTGGGCCTTAAGCAGTTTTGGGCCTAGTCATATTTTGGGTTAGTGGACCGGTTAATCTGTTTTGGGCCATGGTTATTTTAGTTGGGCCTTATTGGGCCATGAGGCCCATTAATAGTTTTGGATATGGACTTTGGGCCCATTAGCAATGGAAGACTCTTGGGCCATTAAAAGGACTTGGGCTTAGGTAATTGGGTCCTTCAATCAGATTATGTTTAATCCTAATTTAGGGTTAACTGTATTATTGTTCAACACTCATGGTTTCAGACTATTAGGCGAGCAGCTTTCGAGTTCAGCAGACAAAGGTGAGTCTCCTCACCATACCAATGGGTCGAAGGCACTAATGCCGACCCGTTTTGTGATATGTGGAACACTAGTTGATGTAGTGATATGTGGTATACTAGTTGGTTATATGTTATGTGGTATGCTAGTTGTTTCTGTGATATTTGCATGAAAGACCATGGGGGTGGGGGGAGCCCATAACACTTGGATATCAAACCATATGGGGGAGCCCATGGCATTCCAGGTAAAGACCATGGGGGAGCCCATGACACTTGGATATCAGACAATGTGGGGGACCCCATGGATTTCCATGTAAAGACCATAGGGGAGCCCATGACACATAGGTGTAAGACCTTGGGGGGAGCCCACGACATCCTGGAGTAAGAACCTGGGGGAGCCCACGACATCCCTATATGTTATATGCATGGCTTATGTGACTGATATGAATTATATGATTATGTGGATTATGTGGGGTATGCTCTGGGAACTCACTAAGCATTAGTTTACAGTTTGTTGGTTGTTTCAGGTACTTTATGTGACAACCCAAACTATTTGGACCATGCAAGGTCTAAATTGTATCCCTAGTACAATAAGAACCTTGAAAACCATGAGAGCATAAGTGCATGTATAAGGAAGTATACACTTTGAAAGTTGCACGTAAGGTAATCTCTTAGAAAAGTAAACAAGTTAAGCAAGAAAAAGTGGGACAAATAAATTGAGAATTCAGTCTACAATGCAATCAAACAAGGATCACATGGTGTATACACAAGAGCTTGTAATTGTGTCACAATTTGGACACTTGAATTATAAGGACAATATATTCGGGTTTACTATTAGCTAAGGCCATAAACACTTCCATAGGACCCACCTAAGACCATGAACTCAATCCTAGAAAGCACATTGGTCGTGAACGCCTAAAGGAAAGGAATCTAGACCGTGAACACCGTTTATGGACTCCCTTTGGCCGTGAACTACTTCATGGAACCTTAGCTAGGCCGTGAACATCATCCTAGGAGGATATAGGGCGTAAACTCCTTTGGTGGACCATCTTGTGGGCGTAAACTCCATCCTAGAAGGCACTTTGACCATGAACACAATTCTAGGAGGCTTTTAGGCCGTAAACAACTCCATTCCATGGGGTTTACGGCCATAAAGTGTGAATAAGACAAATACATTTGACTTTATGATGCAACATCTCAACTATTTTCAAGGCTTTCACGGATAAACATATATTATACATCAGATAACTAAGCAAGAACTCTATCAAACTCCATCTCCTTACTAGGGGCGTAAACCCCATCTCCTATTCCACCAAAACTCAAGTCACTCTCTGTAAACTCCTCATTGTATCCCATTTATCATATTCACCTTTCTGTGAACTCATAACTTGCTCTCATATGGATTCAAGCTTCAAGCTTTAATTCTTCTAAGCACTCTCTACATTCTAGTAAGTAGTTCATGTTTTGGGTTAGTTATTCTCCATATTATTTTGTTTATTTCATCATAGTTACACAAGATATTATGTGGTGATGTTTCTAGGAGATACTAAGTTTCAAAGAGTTATTAAACTCTTTAAGTGTTAGGACTTGAAACTTCTCATCACCTCTCCAAAATCACACACCAAATCAAACCAAGGCGAGCTTCATACCCCTCTTTTTGATGTTTTCATGGTTTTGGGGGAGGATACAAGTTAAGGGTCTTGTGAAATTTTAGTATAATTGCTTGTTTATGCATGTATGATATGATTTATGTGCTTAAAGTTATGAACCCTATATATATTGGTTCAAGAACTCGAGATTTTTAGCAAGTCTCAAGGTTTTGAACTATATATCACAAAGTAGAAGTTAGAAACAAAAACTAATATGTTTATGAAATATAAATCATAAATTGTTATATCAAGAATCATAGGGTTTTGCTCCAAAAATTGTTTAAACAAATTGTTAAACATAATATTTTGGAAATGGTTAAATTGGAGTATTAATGATATTTTGGGGACCATTTTCGGCCACATATATATATATATATATATATATATATATATATATATATATAAGGACCATTTTGGAAAATGGAATAAAATTGAAGAATTATTGAACATCTCAATTTTAAAGGATCAAAAATGAAATTTTTGGATAAACAAGGGCCTTTTTGAATATTTTCATAAATATAAGTCTAAAATGAACATTTTAGAAGAAATGGGCCGTTTTCAACAATTCACCAAGTTTTGGGCCACTTATGACACCTTTTGGCAAATATGGGTCTTATTTGATACTTTATAAAAAGAAGGGCCATTTTTGCCAATACCGATAATATTGGGTCATTTTTTATAATTATGATTCCAAGTGGATTATCCTCAATAAACGAAAACGATAGATCTAGTCAACGAGTATAACTATTGTTATTTATTTAATCAATAATGGATTTTCACGATTTGCTCAAAAACCTGTTAGTATTATAGTCAGACGAATCTCCAATGTACCTAATATATATATATATATATATATATATATATATATATATATATATATATATATATATATATATATATATATATTAGTGTACGTTTAAAGTCCTGTAAAGAGTTGTAACTAGAGTCTCCTAGAGGGAGAGCGGGAATTTGTGTATAGATCTATAC